ATATTTCATTCCCGGTTTATAGAAGGTGTCTTCTGGTAGAATTGTCGGAACTAAATTCATATTAAAAGCAATTCACGCGATAGTGTAATGAGTGTGTGTATATTAAAATTATCATTCCTGAGATTCAAATACAGTATTGCCCCGTAAATTGTCCCAAGCTTTGAGAACTCTATTCGTTTATAATTTAATTCTTTGTTCACAGATAGCGTTGCGAGTTCATTTACGCAGTGCGATCACGATGTCTCAAACATTCGATTGACTTTCTCCCAAGATACATTCTCTAGTTGATAGTTCGTTGCCTTGACACATACAAGCGAAATTCTTTCAATATAGTCTTTCGTAACTCGATAGCCCTACGAAAAAGTAACTTATTAAGCAAAAGTATATGCCTGATAGTTGTAAATGATACCGCACGCTTGAACCCATACATGTTGAAAAGAGACAAAGTCAGATAATATTTAAAACGATAACAATAAAGTAAATGTATTAAGTACATACCTTCATCAATACTACACACGCCAGACAACGGCCGCGTGACACGCTATATATAAAGGTTGCAACCTTTTACTCGTTCTTCAGTTGGTAAAACGCTAGTACACGGAGTGTGGTTGCGCGGAAAATTTGGATGTCGCTAAGTGTTTCGAAACTATTGTGCAGCGTTATTTATTGAATATACTTCGTGGCGATACCAAACCTTTACGGTGAGTACTGTGTTATATGATTGTTTCAACGATTGATACGTATTAATGACACTAATTTTAATTTTTCTGATTAAGTATGTTAAACTCGATACCTGTTTAAATCATAAAATTAGAAAAACGTATCAGAGAAAAATGTATTCGCTTTTTCAAGTTGACCTATTGATGAGTTAGAATTAATTCTGCATTAAATGTATTTTCAATGTGTATTTGAATAATTAAATATATAGTAATCATGAATTAAAGATTCTAATTGTTCAAATTATTTTGATGTAAATTTGTTTAATAAGTTTTTCCAATTCATATTCTTTTAAATGGGAAAAGAACTTTAATTATCAATTCTTTACCTGCTTAGATATACATAAGTCTAAAATTTTGAATATATAAATAAATGTGGTTATATTATCGATCTGTTAGAACGGGTGAGTCAAAGAATGGAAAGAAACTTATTTATATTTATCGTTAGAATGCAAATTCTAACGATAAATATACGACCAATAAATTCTAATAATTTGACGTTTTAAAAAAAATTACGCTCTTATATTTTCTTCTTATGTTAAATACGATCATAAAAAGAAATATTTAAGGAATTGACCAAAATTAAGGTAATAAATTAAAAATAAAGAAGAATGTTACTTAATTACTGTTTCATAAATGTGTTGTTTCCTTCTTTACGAATTAAGTCGAAAATTTAATTATCAATTTCAAAAACGACAACTAGCGTAAGCTGTAGTCTGCCTTAAGACTGCATCATCTTATACAAAAATTGATTTTTAATCATTTTCTATCCAAAAAAGAACGTTTTAAATAATTTCCCAGCATATGCGTATGATCAATACTATTCATTCTGTTTGAGTTAAAAGCAACGGAGCTTTTGCCAGAAGCTAAAAAGCTCACCCAAATCATGACGGAACCGCCCCTAAAATAATGTGTTTGGTGGTAAATCACCAAGACAAATTATTATTAAAAAAAGCATTACACCATTAGGGGATAAAAAGAATCATAATTTCCCCGTGCAAATAAAAGTCTTTTTTCTTTATCAGCAGTCTCTAATTTTAGTACTGATTCCATTCTCGAAATAACAGTGTTCAGTGATTTTAAAATACTCCGGTAATACATCTCCTTGTGATATAATCTACAATTGCACTCTTTGTTCAAGATATTCGCAATATAACCGTATCTCTTGCCTTCGATGCGAAAAGAATCAATCATTGCTTTTTCTGTAATAGAAAGTTCTTTTCTACGAGGCATTTTCCTTTCTAAGAGGTTTTATTCTAACCAATAAATGTCACAACTGACACCAGAGATGTCAAACAAAAGAACAAGCAACTGCAGTGTTGACAAAGTAATAAAAATAATAAACGTTGATACATACATTAATCGAACGCTCGAAATCTAGTACTTTTTTGTTTTCCCTAACCAATTTCATTATACGCATTAATTCTTTCTTTCTTTATTCTCTGAACATTGATATAATTTTTTCCTAAATTTTCAAAATGTTCAAATATTGATGAGTTGGTATATTTTTAGCACTGTGTTCCATATATATTGTAATAAATTATGTATACTATTTGGAGCTTTTACACTTATGTTTAAAATAATTACATGTTTTTTATATTTAGCAAACAAAGTGGAAAAATGAATTCCGTTAAACTATGTAGATACATGGCTGATAGCACTTTTGATCTCGTCAGAAAAGCAACACTCGTTGGCTTGCCCGGAGGCAGTCCCACGGGTGGCGCAATGACCGGGTTATACGTCTTTCGTTGTTTCCCCGGTTAAGGACGTCGAAAACAGATATAGATTTGACAGACATATGATCACAGTGATATCGCGTGGACAAAAGTCAATCGTCTGCGTCGGATCTAGCACTATGTAACTATGTACACTAACCCAATCCAGCTTGGAAACTAAGCACAAATGGCGGGATATTTTTGCGTATAACTGTAAGACTTGTATATGTATATATATAGGAAAAAGTTATTTTAAATGTTGGGCTTTACGACATATTTCAAAATCATCGAAATCGGAGGAGAAATAGCATTTCGACAAGTTCGCCAGAAATTGTTTCTATGGTGGAAAAAGTTGGGTCCTGAATGGGTTAACGTGATTCGGGTAATATATTAAATTTCCTATATACGCATAAACATCTATAATTGTATAAAAAAGATACCTAATTGTATAATAATCGGTGCAGAACTCACTATCATATTTATCGATGACGAAGACAAAGGAAGCAGTACAATTTAAAATTACTAGTATCTTTTCGTATGTTTGCTATACGTAAACTGCTTCTGTTTGCGACAACGTCGGTCGAGAAATAGGTAAAGACTCGCAAATGTTTACCTAGATATTCATTTGCAAGAAAAGTACGTTGACATGAGTTGCTCTCAAAATAAATGTCGTAAATCTGTCTTACAACTAACATTCATAAAATTCCAATTAACCTGCCAACGACCGAAAAAGATATGAACATAACAGATTTATGTACGTACATATACCTATACGTATATCGATTGTGTCTATCTTATTCAGATAAAAAACGGGATCAAGAATACACCTATATTAATTAAAAATTAGAATTTTGAATGATACTTGATTGAAGGCTGAGTGAACATTTATATATTAGTATATTGGTGAATAAAGTGAGTAAAGTGAATAAAGTGAATAAAAGTGAATAACGTGATTAAAATGAATAAAGATCCGTTTTTAAGATACACGCAGAGAATCGGGGATATCGCATAGAAATCTGTGGAACTATATGAAAAATTGCATACAACGTGAAAATTTAGTGTCGGACGCTTGATTGCAACAGTCGCGGTGTTGTAACAAAGGATCCTTTATTCTCCTAAATGACGTAAATAGAATTGTACGATGCAAAGTGATAGACATATTGCATTCGTTGCGTTCCTATGCTATTTAATTGAGTTGTGGTTCCGCTGCGACGCTGTTTCGTACGCGCAATCGATAAGTGGTAATTTCATACGAAAATTGATACGTAATCGTGGACACGTGCTCCATTACAGTTTGAATCAATGATAATTTTACAATTAACACCTCACTAGCAATTTTCCAATAAAAGTCGCAATCACATTTGTTCTGTCAAATCTCTTGAAATGGTACTTTCATCTTCTCTCCTTTTTGCTCTTTTCTTTTTTTTTATAATATTTTCATATAATAATAAATATTATATTTCATATAATAATTTCATATAATTTCATATAATAATTCATAAAAATAATACGTGTACATAACGTGTTTCAATAACGTAGATGAACATATTTGTTTGCGTTACAAGGCCATTTTATGGATGATACTTGTTGATTTGTAGTTAACCTTCTAAGTGGCGAAGCAATTTTCTCACATGATATATCGGTTCTTCTATCAACACGTTACATATAAATAAAGATAAAGGATATATATAATATAAAACACACGAAGTTGATGAAGGAAGATTACATTAACGTAGGAAGATGAATTTTGTCTTTTTTTATTTTTAAATAGTCGTCCAATTTCGTAGAAAGCAAATTCGCTAGAATAGCGAATTCTACGTAAGTATGTGAGTGCTAAGTACAACAAAAGGTGTATAATGTGAACTAGTGACAACTTAAAATCGGAATATCCTTCTGTAGAACAATTTACCAATTAAGCTCGTCGAAAGCTAAATTGATTCTCTCAATTTCATTACACAAGTACGTGATTAATATTCAATTTTCAAGAAACAAATTATTCATTTCCATAGGTTCATTCATTCATACGAGAAGATAACATAAAAAATGGCAAATCTCAATTTACAAATTCGATACTTAATAATATTAGTAAATTATTAAGGGACTTCTGTCGCACAAACAATTTTTATCATTTCACAATATTAATTCTAATCAGTAAAATTTCTTTACGGAACTTTCTTTGTCTTATATTCAATTTTATTTATTGTTCCACAGAAAAATGTATTAAATTTGTTAAAATTTTCTGTTGAAAATGACAACGTGAGTTCGTTCTCGCCATCCATTAGTCGATGCGTTAGTTATAAGAAATAGAACTAGAGGATGATCCTAGTTACAATCGATAGATTTAATCGATAGGCTTAAGATGCCTTTTTATTTTTATCCCTAGTTTTTGTAAGCGCGTGCAATAAAGGTTTTTTTGGCTCAGAACGGTGTGATAGATTTATCCATTCAATAAAATAATAACTATTCTGATCTTACCTCTGAGTATAGAAATAACAACATTTTCAAACGTAGAATCATACGTCAAATTTTGCGAAATATGAAATAACGGTAATTAACGGTAACTGCAAAATAGGATTGAAACGTTTATTTATAATACCTTATAATGTTTAAACGTTGACTGCACTGTTTTAGTTTATAACACAGTCTTTGTGCATGTTACATTAAATGAGAGTTCGTAAAAGAGAAACGTATCCAAACGAGGTTTTCATAACCTGTTAACACAACATATAAACACACAAATAATAAGATCTGTTTGAGATGAACAGTTGAAACTAATACAGTCGAGTACTATTTGTTTACAATGTTCCGTTCGGAACACTGAAACGAACATGTAAGTAGACATTCTTCGTCAGTAAACTTTATAGTAAGATCACAAAAAAGGGCTGTTTTCGAATTTAAATCTTAATCTTTGAAAAAGAGAGTTCAGACATTTTAGGACGTTTTTCCTCCATTTGTCTCAAGTACTATCTGCCCTAAAAATTCCAAAGTCTTTTTTTTATCAATCTGTACACAACACAGAATGCAAGTAAAAATACAATATTTCAAAATGAATCAACTTAATACCAACAATCAACTCACACCTGAAAGTACTCAAACACTTACCACAGAAAATTTGTTACGAACATATTGTGTACATTGTAGGAAACTTTTTGAAATTCCATCAGTGTTCTAACGAGACGTAATTATATCGGTAAAATTGGAAATCGATCTGAAATTCTACGTAAAAGTTACAAGATATTTACTACAAATATATTGAGTATTGTGGCTTATTAATACAATGAATAATTGACTGTGTCAACATTTACTAAATATCTTGTAATTTCTACATATATTTTCAAATGTGTTTTGAATTTTGTGATAATCAAAGTAGAGTCTCGTCACGGTGCTAATGAAATTTAAAAATGTTTGCCACAATGCGCGTAATATATTGATAAAATGTAAGTAAAGGATTCAAATCAAATATTTTTGACAGATAATAGAAATTGTTCAGAGTGGATCGTATAAATATCACCAATGCATTTTCTGATATTCTAATAATGCTGATGATTATTTATTGAATACACATCGGTTCGTGTCAAAGACGAAGAATTATCGGAGATAACTACGACTATACACAGATATATTCAATATTTACTTACAGCGATAAAACCGTACAATGAGAAGGTATAAAATTTTCCAGCTGTAACGTGCAAATTCTGTTGTCCAAGAGTCATAACCAGAAGCAATAACTTTTGATTATGCAGCGATAAATTATTCCAGTCCGTAGCATAAAACGCTTCGCTCACTTTCATCGACTAAATGTAATTTTAATCATATTTTTAATCTTTTTTTTATAACAATTTCGAAAGGGTGGAAAATGCGTGCAAAAGTATCCAAGCAAACAGATTTTACGTGACACGTACAATATGAACGCAAAAGTTTATGCGTTCAAATATTTTCATTCATATTATAATTATATTTCCATTTAATTAAAAATCAATATTAATTTTGTCACTAGCACTTGCATAGTTTTAGTAATCGTGATATTAAACAATCTGCAGCCTTTGACTAATGCTAAACATCACTTAACTCTGCTTCTTTGCACCATTTTTCATCTGATAGTTTTTCTACTACAATAAAAATCCTGTTATCAAAGATTATTTTAATTTTGTTAAAAGTTATTCTTTTTGTCGTAGACAGGAAAATCTATCTGGTTGAAGACACTTGTACACAACTGCGAATGATAGATACTTCGTTTGACAACTGTTCTCCCATGAAAGAGTATAGATATAACATCGATATAATTATCGAAATGTATAAAACGTAAGTCAAAGTGTTCACGAAACTTCCCGAGGGATTCTGAAAATTATAACAATTGAAATTAAGAATGCGAACAAAATTAATGTCTAAAATTAAATAGCTAGAAATGTTACAAATAGAGTTTCTATATCTAAATTTACATATACATGTATGTTTTTTTTTTTTTTTATAAATTATACTCCAGTAAAGTCTGAATCAAGTATTATAATACGATGAACAAAGTAAACGATAAATGCGATAAACGTACTAGAAGCATCATGTATATGATAGTCGCCATTCTAATGGTTGTCTGCAATAGTTCCACCAAAAGAAAAACTTGCAGGGCTGAATTGATGGAGTTTGCTGTCCTGCATGGAATTTTGAATATTACATAATATCGTTACGATAATGAGTCAGTGAACATGATGTGCACGTACAAGCTGATTTATATTAATTTATAGATGGGTAAAAAAAAACTAAACTTGAAAAATAAAGTCTCGAAGAATAAACTAAATAGATTAAAAGCAAACTATTTTCCAGGATGAGAAAGTGATTGTTTCATCTAGTAAAGCTATGTTATTTAACGAAAATAATATACATATGTATATGTATATTAGGGTTGAAGAATTATTTATCTCCAAATATTTGCATAAAGATGTAAAGTTTTAATTATATTTGAAATAAATAAGTAAATTTAATTATGTTTGAAATAGGATAAATAAGAACACCAACAGGATAATCGATAGAATGTAAATAAGAAATGAAAGCAAGAAAGATAAATACTTACGTAATTAGTTTTACATGCGCGGTCACGAATTCTTTGATTACACTGTCTAAATTAACGTTTGAATTCGTGGAAATATTTTGTATACGATACGACAAGATTGAGAATTTACCGCAGATGTGTAGCACCAAGTTAACTAACAAACTGATGGCGCTTATATGGCTTAATGCAACGAACATGACTGGAAACTGGTATAAATACATGATAACGAAGTTTTGAAAGTCGTCTTGATAATCGAGAAAAGCATAGGCTCGGAAAGGCAATTTATAAGCTTTCGATGATTCATTGCTTTGTCCTGAAATAATATCATAGAAATGAAATTGCTTCTTCTCGCCCTAAATTCGTTTTAAACGCATTTTGGAATTCATTAAACTGTACGTATATATCGTATTTTAATTCATTCAACTATACATATAGCTTTTATTATATTTATGTATATACATATGCTCTATACAATTTTTTACATCATCTGCCAATAAATATAAAACATAGATTTGTAAAATTTTTCAATTTTATAACGTATAAATAATACTAATTTCATCTGATTTAAACATTTTGAATAAATAAGGTACCTAATCAAGCATATTAATGTTAAATTCTATTTGAACTATAATACTTTTAATTGGGTTGTCCAGTAAGTTTGTAATAGAAATTTAAAGAAAATTTATAGCTAATGTAATTTGCTATAGAATTATCATTATTATTAATTAGTATTATTATCATTATCACAATTATCATATTGTACCAAATTATTTTAACAATTTCTGGATATCTTCTCTTAACTTTTCATCGTCTTTGATGATAAAAAGTATTTGATTTTTTATTTACTACGATATTGTATCTCTCGAAATTATTTCATGTATAATTAAAAAGCTGAGAGAACGCGCAATAGATAAAGAGGAACGTTACAGTTGCTTATAAAATTAATTATATTATTATTGTCATATAAATCAAATATAAAATACTTAAAAGTTTTTTTAAATTTCATTACGAACTTTCCAGACAATCTAATAATCCTCATGTACATACTTATATGGTAATAGTATTAACTTCTAACTAAACCATCAAATTTATCAAGGTATCTAAATCAACGTATCGATGAAGAAATACCTGAATCAAGCTTCAACAACTGCAGCATAGGTGACAAGTACCAGAGAGTTGCTATCACTAAAGTCATTGAAATGGCGTATCTACCGAATTTATCGGAAATGTTGTGATACGTGAAGTACAAGCGCATCTCCTCCACAGATTCAAACTTACTCTTAGCAATTTCTTCTCTCACAGTAACGATCCCGTGTTCGATCAGTTTGTTGAATCGAAGCAAAAATAGTATAAAATAGGTAGCGGTTGCTATGGTATTATCTATAATGTTTCTTACCATCGATTCTAAATTTCCGAATGCTTCGATCAGATCAATGTACATTATAACTATATGTACGCTGAGATAGGACATATACATAACGAATTTCGTGTATTTTTTTCTTAAGGGCCACGCATCCCAAATTAAGAAAACCCTTTCGTTTAGTAAGAACACGTCTTTCACTTTTCTGTTTATATTTTCCTGCGACACACGCCAAAACAGTTGATTTGATTTAATTATTCGTAATTTCCGAATGCTAAATTATCAAGTGACACAATGAAAATTATAATAATAACAATTATAATAGTAATTACGGTAATAACCAAAACGCCATCCCATTATTATTTGCACGAAAACATGCAAAAACTTAAGAATAATAAATCTATAGAAAATTATAATTAATTCGTAACATTTATAATTAATAATGATAACGATGATAATAAAAGTAAACGTTTAGAAACAAAATCGGCTTATTATTATTTGCATAGAACATACAAAGGTCCAAATTAACAAACTTGTAAATACGTAAATACAGAAAAGTACGATGTATATATACTAAAAATATACGCGTGTAACATAATTTCCCAAAATTCCTAAACTCTTTGATGTAAACAAAATAGAACTCTTTATCTTGCTTGGTTTCATTCATAAAGTGAAGTAAATGCATACATGCTGAGATCAAATCAGAAGAAATAACAGTGACATTGAATAATGAAATGAATAATAAATATGCATACGATAACAAAAATCGTTGTAAATGAAGGAAATGCAATTCTTTTATTTTTATCTACAAGAGATTATTGTTACGAAATTATTATTGTTAGTATTTCATGTTAATAAAGACACGAATAGAATAATGTATTATTGTATAATAGAACTACTATTATTTTAAACAGTTCTCTTGAAACCTCGTCAAATATATTAAATATAAAATATTATAGAATGAATCAGTTGCCAAAAATATTACGAATTTTGGTCAACAACTCAACAGAATCGCCGTCTTAGAGGCAGAGCTATTGTAGTATGGGACGAAATTATTTTCATATTAATCAAAAGTCAAAGCATTTTGCGTGTCTTTTATACGAATTAGTAGTTTTTAAGTAAACTTAAACTTCTTAGCATAAGAAAATTTCCAAGATCAATCGCAGTTCAATTAAAAATTGAGCAAATCCTTGAACGTAAATTGAACAACATCGAACCCAGCGCGTATTATAACATAATACATCATTGACAAAATTCAATATTATAAAATATATAAATTATATTCGATATATAATATTATAAGATCCAAGCTATATAAAAAATCATCGTATCGCTATAGATATATAACGTTAAAATTGCCAAGAAAATTCAGTCTCCTCGCAGAGAACTTTTTAGAAATATCACGAACGATTTTAACGAAGTCGATGTTAAAAAAATGTAATAGAAACGACTAGAGCACGGGGCTCGCCTTACGTTCATCGCAGTTCTTCGTTGTTTTAATCGAGTCGTGATTTTAACAACTACTGACCGCTGCCGCGCCGTTATCATACCGCGTTTCATACCAGTGATCGATTAACGATTATTTCGTAGGAAAATTGACGGCTGGCCGGGGCACACGCTTCGTTACAGACTCGTTCGATCATTATCTTACAACTGTCGTGCAGACAGATAATTTCCGTCTTATCCTGTCATTTGCCGCAATTTAAACTCATCGATTACGATATATCCATATTGTAATTGCATTTGTTCTTCAGACTTGAGCGACCAAATCGAGACATTGTTCTCCCCTGAGCGATATTAGGCAGATTTAAACCTATCAAGTTCTTGTGGAATAAAGCAATTAACGGTAAACGTTATCCTTTCTAATGCGTTGCGAAATTAGATGTCACAACTTCGATACGATATTCCGCTATGTTTCGTCGTCGAATGTTCGTTGAAAGTGAGCTATCAGTACGGACAAGTGGTGGATAGGAAAATTCGATTTATTCAGATTGGTTTCAGCGTCTGGCTTCCGTTCGATGGAAGAGCGAAGCGAAAGAGAATCAACGATGGAAAGATATCGAGCGTTTGATTAAATGGAATCTGTTATTCTGTGATTCTGATGTACTGTGTGAAACGTCCGTGCATGCGTTCTGTGAAAAAGGGAAGTGGGGCCGGCACTATGGTGAAAAGATATGGAACGTGCGTATGATAAACCGAGATTTGTTACTTACAGCTGTAAAATTGTACAAAATTATACAATGTATATATTCTATAGTTTGGAATTATAAGGAATGCAATATTTAACGAAAAAGCGATTCTCTTCGTTTCGCAATTGGAATTATAAAAACTTGATAAAAATAATATTTGGATAAGTAAAAAGTTGCCTCTTTCATTCGTTAGTTGAATATAGACGCGCGAGGATAAAGAAAAGATACGAAACGGCAAACATAGATGTTAAAAATATTTGATTTCATAAAACTTGGTGCGATTTGTACGTTGTTTTATAAAATGGAAAAAAGCGATTATCAATTGCTGCAGGAATTATTTATTTTTGATAGAAAATCACCGAAATAAGTCAGTCAAGTGTTGAATTCTGTAAGATTTATAAAGCGTTTTACTTGTGTAGTTAATTTAGTTTGCAGGAAAATTTCTCGGTGTGATTGACTAGTCTCTACGTACGGAATGAGTAGTCAAGGTTTCAGATGTTGCTTCATTGTCGCGTAATTTCCTCATTTCTATCAACTACATACATTCTCAATATATAGTGTGTTCTTTGAACCTCAACAACGAGAAAACGCGTGTTATCAAGTTACAGCGTGACACACATAATAATCAGTGTACCAAACAAACATGGAACCCTCGGATTATAATATAAAATAATACCTGTTCAATGATGAACGTTTTAGCTACTGATATATCTCCAGCTTTTTTTTTCTTTTAAGGAATATTTAAAGATCCGAGCTTCTGTAGTTTGAAGATAAATTCAATTTATAAATTTTCACAAAGTAGTTTTTCGTTCCAAAATTTGGAACGTTCTTCGTTTTTTGGACGAAGCTAACTTTTTCGTACATTTTTCTGAGAAATGAGAATATTATAATTATAACTTTCGCTTTCAGATATAATGAATTACAATGTGAATACTCTAAAAGCATATCATCACGAGTAAAATATTTCGTTATAAAAGGAAATCGTCATTTTGGAACCCTAACATGCTCTAAACTTTCACGCACAAGCGTAGAACGATTGCATATAATGTAATTCTCTTACAACGTAATGCTGAAATATAGAAAATGATTTTGTATGATTATGGTGACAACGTGTTATATCATCGTTTTGTCGCACTCGGTTATTAATTTTGTAATATGTATTATTTCAGCTGTACAAGTAAATATCTATAATATTTGTGTAATTGCGTAACCGATCTGTAACATACCGGAAACACGAATACAATGAGCGTTATGCATATTCGCATACGTTGCTTTATATGAAGATCCATGGAATGCCAAATCCACGGAGAAAATCTAGAAATTACGACCATGAAAATAGCTCAAATTCACGGAAGTTTATTAAATGCGCTCGTTTTACGTAGAATGAAGAGTAGAGTAAAGAAGAAGAAGAAGAAGAAGAAGAAGTGAAGAGAAAAGGAATAAATTGATTAAAATTGCAACAATTGAACGAGTGGAGAGACATTATATCCATAATTGAAATATTGTAAATATCAGTATGGTACATATTTTTTTTTACATTTTCCCCTTGTAAATATTCCAAATTGTTTACATTTTACAAACGTTCTACAGATTAATTACGTTTCCTTTAATTAAATTTTATTCAACGTTAGAACGCACCAGTGTCTTTTATGGTTATGCGTATTATTGACGAAGAGCGAGTAAATCGCTCGGTTGCTTTCTTCTAAGTCTTCCGGAGACGTCTGAGTAATAGTTTCTCAGCTAATGGTTCGCGTGATTCTTTATTCCGTTTAGCCGAGCACTGGAATGATTTGTAATTTCCTCTGCAATCGTGGTTATTTTCAATGTTTTCCTTGTACACATGCGGATACATGTGAACACTGTAACAAAGAGTTCGTCGGGAACCCGTTGTTCGTTATTTGTCAAGTGCAGACTGTGTGGAACAGACTGAACGAATATTACATGCGTGAAACTATTATCATTTGTCAAATACACGCGTGGTGTATCTACGAACGTAACGATATTTGACAAATATACATACATTGTTGTGAAAAGATGAAGATCAAAGTAGACGTATCGAGCGTTAATAACTTTTATACCAAATATTATTTACCATATCGATAACAATCATCTATTCCAAGCTAGACAAGATATTAAGAAAAGGTTTTTTTTTTTTATTTAATATTTCACATTCACAATTTGTCCAATTTGGACATTTGGTAGAATTTTTTAGCTGTTTGATTATCATGTGGGTGGCTACCCCCAATGGGGTACCATCTTCGTGTTTGTTAGGATATATCCTTTATGAGATCTGCTGGGTGTTTCCTTTTTAGTCTTCTTTCTATGCTTGTGTTGATCGTTTCCGTTGCCAGCCGGTTCGGGTGCGTTGCTATTCTTTCTCTGTATCTTCTTGCGCATCTGCTAATCTCTTCCTTGACCGTTGGTATTCCAAGGTCTTTCCGTAACGTACCACGGGGCGAAATTAAGAAAAAGTGAGCGATATTTATAAGCTACGATTCTCGATATCGAAACGATAATGAAAGTTCGCGTAGAAAAATGTCGTTTGAGATCTATTTTCAAGTCGTAAACAATGGAACTTTTGATCCATCTATTGACAAACTTTTCTTTGTATTATCGAGACAATAATAAAAGCTAGTGTAGAAAAAAGTCGTTTGAGATCTATTTTCAAGTCGTAAAGAATGGAACTTTTGATCCATCTATTGACAAACTTTTCTTTGTATTATCGAGACAATAATAAAAGCTAGTGCAGAAAAAAGTCGTTTGAGATCTATTTTCAAATCGTAAACAATGGAATTTTTGATCCATCTATTGACAAACTTTTCTTTGTATTTCATTCACATTTACGATCTTTTTTTTTCGAATAAATCTTATCTTTCAAACTTGTTTCGTCTACCACTATACGCAAATATTTAATACGCTAGAAACCCCCATATTCGATATTTAAATCATTCTAAAGAAATTTGATTAATTCTATTTACAGCATATGTAATTACTTAACATTTAATTTCTTATGTAGCAACTAATAAACCTTGATGGTATTATTCGATTTATTTTTCTGTATGGCTCGTTTATAGAGGATAAACTATGTGGAGTCGACCGTATGTGAGAAGTGTTCATCGAATGGCGATTGTATGAATTCTCCTTGATAAATGAAAGAAAAATTATGTAGAAACTCGGTCCATAGATGGAAGCGTGGAATTACCTTTTACAGCGAAGGATTCGATGGTATCGATGACCTTGAACAGAATCATAAACATGGTCTATAATACATGTGTACTGATAAATGAGGAGGACGCGTGTACGACGATGATAGAATTTCTGTAACAGAGGAATTTTCTGTACGATGATATACGGCCCCGTAATCACAAGCACACACGAAAAACTTATAAAATCTGCTGAATCGCTGTTGATGAGCTTCTTGCGTGTGACGCTGTCTGCGTAAGACCACGCGTTTTTAAAAAAAAATTCACTTCAAAAGATTTTGATTTTTCCTTTCGATAATTTTCTTTGCTTCGCAATCGATAAAACAGGCTATATAAATATTGTTACTAAATAACGTCGATGAAATGTTGAAAGTAGATGAGATTATTTCTATCGATTTTTTACAAAACAAATATATATAAGGAATAAGGCTGTGCAATTTGATCGTGTAAAAATTGTTGCCCTATATACGTAACAGTGTTTTTTATCGATAACGTTAAACCATAGGAAAAATTTCGCTTCTTCGTTTCAGGCAATGAGATAAACACGATATACAGAATTTTTCTAAATACTCTGAGATGACCAAAAACGGTTGCGCTTGCGAAAATGGATAAAAGTGAGAGGAAAGAAGTGAATAATCCGCGCCAAAATGCCAATCCATTGTCCATTCTTACATTTTGGTAATTCGAATAATTTCACATATTTCTATTAAATTATATACTATATTATATTTTTCCCATCGTTTGTTATTTAATTCTATTTCAACGATTCCAAGGAATTCCATCGTTGATTAAGTGGAATTTAATTCAATTAATTATTTAATAAACAGGTGGATCCTCAAGCTGTTCGTTGTCGGTTATAAGA